CAATAATACAAATAATGCTGTCCACATAAAACCAAGCTAGTTCAGACAGCCCCTGATTCACTTTTATGTATTCAAGAAGAAACACATCTTAAGATTAGCTGAGATGAATTTTATGATCATTTATTTTTATTCAATTTAACAGCTAACAAATTAGAAGACAATGTTTTGAAAGTAAACCATTTTGCTGTTTTCTTCCTATAAAAAAGAAACTAAATCACATTGTTGCACAATACAAGGTTTGGATTGACTCAAAAGAACTGAACAATACATTTTGTTTTTTCAAAGGTTCATTTGTTTTGTTAAAGGCAACAACAACAACAAAAAAGAAAAAGAGATTAAATTAAGCCTTCCACAAGAGCACTTGTCCTTCAACTTAAGAGCATGTTTTCAGGGGAATGTAAGCTTCAATTCCATAAATTTTTGTGAGTTATAAAAGCTAAGAGGGAGTGTGTTGAATTGAAAGCAATTTCTAGTTGAAATTTCTGAAAAAGGTAATGACTACAGGGGCTTTTTCTTTGAAAAAAGTTTATGGAATCTAATTCAAGGGCAAAAATATATGCATTTTAAGTCAGAAGAAACCAATGTGGGAAAATGTTTAAAAAGTATTGCTGTTTTGTAGTTTTACAAGTAATCCTGTGATATAAGAAAAAAGAATAAACAATGCAGAGATTTACTTCCTCAAGCAACCTCTGAAAAACAAAAGATTACAGAGACACAATGTGACAGGTGAGGAGGTTATTCAGTCACACATTCTTTTTCCTTTTCCTGATACATTTTGATTTACGGCATATGCACCACAGCGAAATCTAATAAATTCAATTTGATTTCCTCACATAAAAGTGTTACAGCATATGGAAGTCTTCATGGGTGCTGATACGGCTGCTCGGTGTGCAGTAATTCAGCCCGCCACTGGGCTGTTTAGAGTAAACCATAAAAGCTGGCAGCCACTTACTGGCGATAAGGTCCCAGAGGGGGCTAAGTTTCAACCAAAGCTATTTCACAATAAAATTCCAAGCAGCAGACACAAACAGGAAGAACGCTGACATCTTTGTGCCACAAAAGCTTTTTTAAAGTCTTTTTTTATGCTAAAACTGGTTTGTAGCTCAACACTCATAGCTTTGACTGATGTTTTGCAAGTGTTTGTCTGCAATGTTAGCACAATATCTAAAAAAGCAACTAGAAAAACTTTAATGAAATTTGCTGAAAATAATCTTTTAATGTATATCAACAACTGATTAACATTTGGAGTCAGCTCAAGTAAAATTAGCTGCCATTGCCAACTGATTAAAAATGGCTAAATGGCTATAATTCAGTTAATTTTACATATATTAAGCTAAAACTTTGCAGAGCAATAGAGACTGATCACCAACACATTCTGATGCTAACAGATGGTGCAGGATTTTTGTCCAAAGTGTTGCCTCTAAATATGCTTAAAATAAAACGTAAGGACATTTATGTTCAGTAGAATGCTTCTTTGTTGTAACAATGGTTTTTGGCAATAAATCTTATACAGAGCACCTGACTGGCATCACCTCAGGGTACTAGAACCTCAAAACAAGAGTCAATAGCAACACCAACATAACCTGGCAGAGAGAATTTGGCTAATTTGTCATGTGTACAACCCACATCTCTACTGCTCATCCCACAAATGCATGTTCCTTTCAAATGTGGCGCCATTTAAAAGGGAACTTAACAGGCTTGCCAACGATATAAGATTTATGGTCAAGAAGCATTGTTACAACAAAGAAATAATCTACCAAACATTAATCTCTTTTCATTTAGTGCTACGTTTGTATAAAGTCAACTGTCTGTCAGTTAGTAAAATATCTCATGAAACACTGCACAGATTTCACTGAGATATTTAGGATATTCACTGGACGTACATCTACATCTGATCAGCTTCATTTCAAAATTCCTGCCACAGCTAATCAACACAAAACTGGCTATATCTCTGTGAATTTTACAGATACTTAGCTAAACTGGTATCTGTGAGAGCCAGTCACAACATTCAGTGAAGCATCTTGAGATATGAATGCCAGTCCTTTAATTCTACTACTAATTATTCAAAACAGTGGTGAATTTATTTATTATTTTCTTTATAATTAGAATCATTGATTAAAGAGTAATTAGAAAGAATACTGTATGTTTTTATTAAAGATAGATCTAAAGTGTTCATCCACCCTCAAGTCTTTTCTTTTTTTTTTCACTTGTTGAAATCCTGGACGTCCCGGTGGTGCACCAAGCCGTCTGAGATGAGCTGAGTCTACATTCCTGTGGGCGTCACGCCATTCTCCCTTCCCCATACAAACATTTCAAACCTCGCAAGCCCACGGAAAGATGCCCATATGACAACCATTACTTTAAGTGGGTGTGTTTGGCTACACGTCGTGCTAACTCACTGCAGCTTCACACTTTAGGAATGGTTTATTTCTCACTGAGTGAATCATTAGCTACTGGAGCGAGGCTGGATTAGGAGTGACAGTGAACACTCGTGGGGGCTGATTTTTAATCAATAGCAAAATGTTAGTGAAGTCACTCGCAATACAGCTGAGGTCTTACCAAAGGTAAAAAAACAAAAAAACAAATTGAAACAGACAAGAAATTCATTTCCCAGCTTTCTGAAAACAATGAACTCGCTCAGGACCTTTTAAATGGATTCCTGTTAATTTGTTGAACTGAACTTTGAGGCACATACTTTTCGTCCCCTGCTTTTGCCAAGCAGTGTCCACATCCAAACATTGGAGGCCAATTAAAACAACTTTATAAATGTTTGAGGGACTTTTTTTCTCTCTCCCCGTTCCATCTTCCAGCCTGCTGCTCTTGATGCTCGGGCAGCCAATTTGAAAGCTCCTGCCTTAACGCAGCAATCTTTCAGCTCACCGGCACAAGCTGTGACTCACCATCGGATTAAACTGCATATGTTTAGATGATGGGAGAGGAGAGGAAAACAACCCCGGTTTCCATTAGCCTAACGGGATGGAGTCTGCCTCTGACAAGAAGCCTGCCTGAAGAGAAAACCCAGTCGAGGAGCTAATCCATTCAGCAGAAGCTAATGGGAGGGGAAGAGGGGTCCATTGTGATTTGAGGGATCGGTTAGTGCTGGCAGGCCCCTCATCATGGGTGATTATAGGAGGTGGAGCAGCAGGAGCGTGCTCGGTGGGGGACTGAGAGGCATGATTCTGATCCACCAGGCTGGTATAATAGAAGCAGGAATAAGAATGACTGGTGTTTGAAATAAGGAGAAAATGCTAAATTTAGAGAGTAACTGTGAAGAAAATGGGAGCAAACAGCAGGTGAGACAGTTGGGAGTTATATAATTAGATGGTGGTGAAATAAAGGATTTGAATGGTTATAATTAAAACACATGGATGCTAAGTGGTTAAATTGAGTGTTTTAGGTGGAAACCATTTATATGGACTCTTTGCCTTTCTGTCTTCTGCACTATAATGTCCCGACCCATCTCAGTAATCCAGGTCGAAAAATTCAAAAAGAAAACAATAATTAGGTCTTCTGTATGGGTTCTTCTACCCATCCAGAGGACCTACTTATTTTTTTCTTTTTGATCTGCACTATTATGTTTACGTAAACTCATTTGTAGCATACCATTGGATTTCCTGTCAAATACTTAGTTACAATACAGGCAGAGAGAAAAACAAAGTGCAAACTTGGGCAAAAGAGTTTGTCACCTTCATAAAAATGACTGACAGGAGTCGGGGAAGTGCATCAATCTAGCTGATGCTACAAAAGAAGTCCCTTCAGGTGACATTTTGACAACAGCGCAAAGGCAGTTGAGTTACATAATCTGTGTCGCGTTGCAAAAATGTTGCCTTGATGCCGCAACTCCATTTAAACAAGTTTGTTTACCGCGCCAAGTCTTTGGGGGGTTTCTTTGCTATTTGGGTTCTTGCTGAAGCATCCTTTGGGGAAAACGACTAAAATGAAGCTAAACTACAGAGTCGGCACAGAATGTTTCTCATTACACTGGGAAAAAAAAAGTTGTGTTGTGTTATTTAGAAAGAGGACAAACACACAGACTGAAAACAAATGAGGGCCGTGGAAGAAGAAAAAAAAAAAAACACTGGTATAATCATGCACCATAGTGTCTGTGTCTCCACTTCCTCTGTACTTCTTTGAAAGGTTTATTTTGAACTGAAAAAAGCTACTCAGAATTCAGAGGTTCACAAGATATTTTGCTAACAGAGTTGACTGCAACAATAAATGCTAACCTTTTAGCAATGATGTTGCACCGTGTGTAATGCTCAGAATCTGTTTTGTAGATGATACTCAGCTACTACCACACCAGAATATGACTCAGTGATGCAAAACTAGATAAGTTACAACCATTTTTGTGTTTTCTAATGTTAGTTGGCTGTGGCAGCCATCTTGAATCTGGTGTTGTACATCCAATCATTGCCTCCTTAGAGTTTAATCTAAGCCTGTCAGATGGTTCACGACATATTTTCCAAAAAACCTAATCGCCTTTTAGTCTTCAGCGGAGGGTGATAAAAATCCTTTTTAACAACTGACTTTGCTCTCAGAGTCTGACATGAACTGTCTGGCTGTCAAGAGATTTCGTTTGGTGAGGAATATAAAATATAAGAGAGGAGATAATAGCTGAGTGAGAGGTACTCACAGGCGATGCGGACGTGGGCTTTACGGCTTTTGGTGGTTCCAGCGGAGCTCCAAGCCACACACTGACACCAGAAGTCCTCAGGCCCAAACAACTCCTCCACCTGCTGTCGAGTGATCTCTATGCGGGCCTCTCTCACAACCAGGCCTGCAGGAAAGGACGAAAAGGATGAAGAAGAAAGGATCAGACAAGAAAAAAAATGATATCAAAGAGACAAAAGGCAAAAAAAAAAAAAAAAAAAAAAAACTGCGGGAAATACCATACAAAGGAATGCACACGCAACAGGTGAAAACTACAGCAGGAAGTCAACATTTTTAAAAAGTCAGCTGGCAGTAAACCCCACTAACCTCCCACAATGTGAGTTTTTGTCAATCTGGCCTGATTATAAAGACTGAGCACTGAGCTGTTTACGTCTGGGCCCTGTGGGGGTGGAATCTTGGCATCATGGCTAACACAATCCTGTTTGCTAACTCCTCTGATTACCGCTCATTTGGGTGCCAGGACCCAAACAAACAAACCTTCCTCTGAACAAATGCCTCTACCCACAGCTGCCACTCTAGAGCAGATCATGCTGCTTTCACTGTAGTGTGTAGATCTGTTCTTGTACATATAGATTTTTGTGACTACATGTATTATATACTCTTTGAGATCTGTAGTCTGTAAAGTCAAAGAACATTTGTTAAACATATTGATGCTTTTCATTTAATCAGATGTTCATGAACCTATTGCGGGGAGGGGGGTTAATAAATAAATTGAACCATTGTTTGGCAGCGTGAAATGACAATTAACTTCTTTTTGGGACTGTAGCTGGTAGTATTTCATTGAGAGCATTAAAAATATTTGTTTGACAGCACTAATTAGATTAATTAATACTCATCTATCATCCTCACATAAAAGAAAATTGATTAAAATAATCAGAAACAACCCAGGAACTACTCAGGCTCAATATAAATATTGACTATGCTTTGCAGCTGCCCTCATTGACAAGCCAAAAGTCTTCTGGTGAAAAAAAGAGGGTTAAGCTAGACAATGACTGAATGTCAAGAAACGTGTCTTGAAGGAGTTGAGGCAAAGCTTTCAAACTAAAAACGTTGCACCAACTCTCAAGCATGGTGGTGGTAGTGTCATGGGATATTGGGGCACTGGACAAAGCGCACACATTTTTAATCACTTTAAATTCAACAGAAAGACAGCTGAAACATGGACACAGCTGGGTGTTCCAACAGGACAATGACCCCAAACACATCAGAGCAGTTTCTGATTGGATAAAGCAGGCTAACATTAGGCTTTTGCATTGGTTTTCCAAAAGGCCTGACCGCAATTTGATTAAAGTTAATTATGCACGTTGTTTAAATGCTGAGCCTGTGCCAGCAAACTGACCAATTTAAATGAATTCTGCCAAGGAGAGTGGTCAAATATTCAGCCAGAATTATACCAGAAGCTTGGTAATGGCTACAAAAAGCACACAGTCGAGTTCCAACTTGCTACAAGACAAAAAATAGGTTGGTGTAAGCACATATTTTGAACCTCTACATTAATTTTAAACTTGTGCACTCAATCCTTGTTTTATGCTGTATTTCACCCTGCAAAACGCCTAAATGAATTCATGAATGAGCATAGCCTTCTGACCACAACTGTACCTGTTTTCTTAAATGAAATATTTGTTTGTGTTTTTTAGTGTCTGAGCCTAACATGAGCAGAGTTAAAGTTACAAGAAGTAAAATATTCTATATGTTTTGTAATGGTTCCTTTTGCTCCAGCTGCATGCTTTTCCCCTCCAAAAAAGCTTGAATTTTGCATGGATCTATGCTGGAAACTCATATTCAAATATCCTGCAAGGCTTCTCTTTTTTCAAAAGAACATTCACGCCGGGAATATTCCATCAAACCTCATCTCCTAAAAGTCCTGCCACATTAGGTTTAGAAATAGGGGTTGAGTGACCTGTTGGGTTTGGGGGAAGAAGTCAAGTTGATGTAATTTTCCTGAACGTGTCATGCTCCTGTATCTGGTCAGCAGTGATGTGAAACTGGGCTGTGACTTTCAAATCATTCCCAGCTGCTACTGAGTCATTTTATGCGCCTGCAACACTACAGCACCATCACCAGGTTGTGCCACGAGGACTAAACTGATGTTATGACACAAGAACAAGGAAAAGAGAGAGAAAATAAAAAAGCAACTGATTTACCTATAAACCTATAATGACCAGGTCTACTGTGGTAATGTTGTTGATGGGTATTACTGTCCTTCCAAGGGCAACGTTTTATGACTGCCAAACAAATTCACATGGTTATCTTTGGTCCTATTTCTGTGGCTGCAGCAAAATACTACAAAACAATGACTTAACGGGGGTAAATGAAGGGGTGGAAGACAGTGCAGTCAGACTTTAATTATAGCAAAGCTGTTTTATGCACAGTAAACAATTGTTGTCTTTTGGCAAATTTATGCCTTTGAGACTTACACATCAGCAGTGAGACTTTTCTTTTAGTAAGTAAAACTTGTGTTGAAAACATCTTTCCTTGGTCACGTAAAACTTTTAAGCAATTAGTATCTGGGTGGTTTACAGAAACCAACAGCTGGGGGGTTATTATTGATGTAAGGTTGATGTAGCATCTTTTAAACACATTCTGATGACAAAGTTTTGTCCAAAATAGATTTTTTTTGTCCCCCAAAGTCTTTACCACATACAGTATTCTACAGAAAACTGTCTGTTAATTCAGTCAGAAAGTTGGAGTTGATTTTTTTAATTATAAATAAATCTTATATCGAGCACTTGATTGGCATCACCTGGGGGTACCCGAAGCTCCAAACAATGGCAGAGAAGATTTGGCAAAGTTTTCATTTGTGCAACCCACAAATGCTTGTTCCTTAACAAATGTGGTGCCACTTAAAAGGGAAATTATAAGGCTTTCCAAGGATTGCCAAGAAGCATTGTTGCAACAAAAAAAAATCAACCAAACACAAATTTCCATACATATTCATAAACCTGATTTATAATGAAATGATCTAACGTATAAAATGCAGTCTTGTCAGCATGACATCATTACTGACTTAAAATAGTGTCATAGATCATTGACTTATCTGTGCACCAATGAGCAATCAGCCTGTAATTTAATCTATTCCTGCAATCTAATTCATTACAGAGCGATTTGCTGCCAAATGGAGTCGAGACAAGATGTGCTAATTTGGAACACACTGAGAATCTCGGTTGGTAATCGAAATTTACAAGAAGGTAGATCAAGGTAATTTAAAAATTGTCTCAAGTTTTCCCGCTGGATGAATGAATGCACAGCTATGCTGCATTTGCTGCAACCATTAGCTTAATGTTCCTTTAATAAAATGAAAAACACAATTTCACTTTTCTTTTGCATAAGTTGAATGCTTTGTGTCATTTCTGTTAATGTTGCAAATACGACAATATCACATGTTATGGCAATGAGCAGTGAGCAGTGTGGAGAGACAGACAGAGAGGCACAGAGAACGTGGCCTGTCTCTGTGCCTCTCTGTCTGTCTCTCCACACTGCTCACTGTCTAACTCTCTCGCACACTGTGTCTCGAGAGGCCTCATATACAGCATTCTGTCATCTAACATCGTGTGAGAATGAACAACCAATCATAACCTGCCCCATCCTGATACACGGAAATAGGTCAACTTGATGCTGACGTCCGGAAGGATATCACAAGATATGAACAAGTGTTCATATCTTCAGGAACAGGAACAAGTGGTCAGTGTCAAGGTGATACAGAAAATAAGAATTCCACAACATCACATTAGACCATAAAGCAAATAAATAATTATAGCTGCTGCTTATGACTGTATATTAGCAAAACATAAATAATTATAGCAATAAAAATTAAACATGGGTTCTCTTTCTTGTATTGGCAGTACGTAATGAGGACCTCCTATAGATAATTATATTAAAGTATTTAAATTGTACAGTAGTTCACAGTACACACAGGTTTTTCCAGTAGGTGTCAGAAACCCTGACTGAATGAAAAATGCATTGAGAATAGATGGGTAAAAAAATGAGCATGCCATTTTATTTCAGGTTCAGTGCATTAACACAGACTTCTTGTTTTAGTGCACACACACACACACGCACACGCGCACACACACACACACACACACACACACACACACACACACCAGGCATCTCCAACGCACCAGCTTAGCCCTCATGTAAAATTTACGCAGTGTGCCGACAGGCAGAGGAGCAGTCTGTCTTCCGTGTCACCATTTGCTTCTGCACTATTCCACAAGCGTGTGTGTTAGTGCAAAGGGAGGAAGCGCTGTTATGCTAATGTGTTTGCCAAAAAGGATGTTTTGTTAGTTGGGAAATGTCAAGAATGTAGAAAGGGAGAACAAAAAATCAACAGCAGCAACAATAAATGCAATCTCTAAATTCTCTTCCCTATGCACACGGAGAAGTCATCTTTTTCGTCTTTGTTTAAATTGATCAATATTTTAACACTTGTTTGAATAATTCTGTATAACACTTAAATTGCTCAGGATGACTACATATCTGTTGACTTTAAAAGTCATTCATGATTTTTTTTTTTTACACCAGGATTAGGATTCTCTGAGTGCGTTCCACTTTCAGACACATCAGAGGAATCACTCGACTGGGAAATCAGAACTTTGAACTGCCTCTGACCTCATCCTGTGAGTGCATGTGTTTGCTCAGCTAGCATCTCTTGCGCTGTCGGGCACTACATCTGTGGCAACACAACAGTCGGGGCCAGTGATGAGGTGCTACTTCACACCACTGTGGCCATTAGCCCTAAAACTGATCTCACATAATGTCCCCTTCATAGCTGGCACTTCATTTAAAATGATTCATTATTAATGCAGTTATTACCATGACCTGGTCGACCTCCGTAGTTTCAGCCCTGGCTAACATCATTGATCAGAGCAGTCAGGAAGAGGAGGCAGCAGTGGCCACTGAAGATTAGCTGAAGGAAGAGGAGGAGGGGGAGGAAGGAGTGCTCTGATTATGTCCAGATGAAAGGTACTCCTGTTTGAGCTTCTTACCTCATATTTCTGAGAAAGTGACAAGCCGTCTCTGGTGTATATTACTTGTGCTGATTAGAACTAATTTATGGCTCATTTGCTCAAATCAATACTTGTATTTTTCAAAACAGACTAAAAC